TGCTGCCGATGTTTTCTCCCATTCTTTCCTGGGGCCCAGCAGGAAATCTGGGAGCAGAAGCAGCAGCACACTCCTCTGGAGCTTCTCTGTCCCTCTGTTAGCAGTGCTGTCCCTGACAGGATTGGTGCCTGTGCCAGGCACTGAGCAATGTGGGGACACAGACGTGGCTATGGCAGGCTGGGCAGGGCACTTCCACCACAGCCAGTTCAGCCCGTGTTCAGAGCTGCAGCCTCAAGGGTGCCCCTTGCCTCCCTTTCCCTGCTTTCTCTACCTTTGTCTCCATTGGAATCCTTGGTTCTGCACCTTCTATTTCTGGTGTATTTCTGCCTGAAGTCATTTCTCCATCAATGCTCTCCCTACTGCCCGCTCTGCTGCCTCAGGAGCAGCCCAGTCCCTGAGGCTCTCTGCATCCATCTTCCAGATCCAGGCCCTGCAGGATGCAGTGACAGAGAAGGCAGCTCAGCAGGACACTCAAGAGAAGGAGCTGCTGCAGGAGCTGGAAAAGTCCCGAGTAAGAGAACAGAGCTTGAGGGACGCTATGAATGTGCTGCAGGTTGAGATGTCTGGGCTGCGTCTGAGGCTCCAGAGCTCTGAGGAAAGAGCAGAGGCCATGGCCACACACTGTGAGGCCATGGAGATGGAGCTGAGGATGGCTCAGGCTGACAACAACCAAATCAAGGCCTGCAATCAGGAGCTGCAGACACTGTTGGAGGAAACTCAGCAAGGTACAACTTCTCTCCCATCCATTGCCCCATCCTGTTCCACCAGCGGGGATCTCTGATCCCATGCAGAGGTAAAGGCCTTTGCCCAGAGATGGCAGACAGGAAAAACAACCAGTATGAGATTTATCCATCCAAGTGCCTGTGAAAACTTTTTCTTGAGAACTATGCTGTGGCTGGCAGTGCCAATTGGCTCTGCTGTGGCTGATCCCATACACAGCTGGTGCATTTCAGGTGCTGTGTCTGTGCTAAGCAGCTGGAGCTGGATGCCTGAGGCAAATTCTCTCAAGCTCAGGCCCTGCCAGAGCCTCCAGGCTATTGGCCTCTCTGGAGCAGGGCTGCACAGGCATCCCAGCTGCTTTGTCTCTCTTGGATTGTTCACTCTGCACACTTTGCTATTCCTCTGAACCTTGCCCCTGCCATTCTTGTTTTTTTCTCTGCCTGGAAGTTTCCTTCATTTCTCTCAGTTTTGGAAGCTCTAGTGGGCTTAAGACTTGGCAAACCCAGTCAGGCAGAGAAGACAGTGCTGTTGTCTCTGCAGGGCGCCCATTGGCTTTACTTTACTTTACTTTACTTTGCTTTCCCCCTTCTCTTTCTCCTTCCCTCCTGCAGCATTATGGAGGGCAGAACACCAGAAAATCTTTCTAAGAACGGGCCTGAAGGAAGAGGCCACTGCCCTGAAGAAAGAGGCTGTGACTGTTCGTCAGGAGATGGAATATCTTCGGAGGAAACTGGAGAGCCAGGAGAAGGAAAGGAAGGATGTGCTGGTGAGAATGGCAGATGCCACAAAGGGCCATTTCCTAGCTATGTTTGCACCTGGTGTTACCAGTTCAAAGGAGCACCTTTTTCCAGTTTAACTTTCCTAATTGCATTCTTCTGAACAAGGAGGAAATGATGTTGTAGCCATGTCAAAGCCAGTTAGCACTGAGGCTGCTGATTTTCCTCCATGCTGGAGTTCTGTGCCCTGGAAGCTTTAGTTCTCCATGTCCACACTGTCTCCATTGACATTGCATGGTTTGGGCAATTTCTGGTGTCCAAATCCATGTTCAGATTTCTAAATATCTGGAGCTGGCAGGAGGGATGAGAAGACCTAGGTTGCTGTTTGAAGGGTGTTTGGCCTTGGCCGTGTGAGAGCAGGCAGTGGGGAGAGAAGAGAGGAAAGCCAAGTACTGATGCAGATCAGGATGTGTGCCTGCAAGGGGAGAACTCGTCCTGAGTGGCAGCAGGGAATGACAGACTGATCTGGCCATTGGTGCTGCAAGAGAGGGCAGTGGGGCTCTCGGGGATGCTGCCATAGAAAGTCTACACAGGAGTGTTGGAAAACCACTCCTGTTGCCCCAAGGCCTTGGAATGAAATGCTGAAGGTGTTTGCTGTCTCCTTCCTTCCTGATGCAGAGCGCATCCTCATGGCACTGCCTAAATCCTGCTTTGCATTGACTTGAAATCCTGGCTGCAGTTCTGGCAGCTCGTGCCCAAAGGAACACGGGAGTGGAGCTGCCAGAGGTCGGGGACGGGCAGAAAGGAAGCTGGGATGGGCTGAGCGAGCTGGGAAAGAGGCAGCGTCACGGGGGGCCCAGCCAAGGTCTGCAGCAGCCCGAGAGGCAGAGAGAGAGGGGGGCAGCACGTGCCTGCCCCTGCAGCAGGAGTCCAGATCTGGTATGAGAAGCAAACCAAGAGAGGCAATGGGTGAGTCTTCTTCTCCCTGTTTTGGCAGCATGAACGGGAATTGTGCCAACAGAAGCTGAGGGGTCTGGAAAAGAAGATGGAAACGGGTGCACCTGACACGAAGAGTCGGAAGAAGATAATCCAGGAATTGGAAGTGGAGGGGGAAGATATGCAAGAAGAGTTGGACCATGGGACTGCTGCTGCCTTGAAGACGAGTGGAAGAGAAGAAATCAAAGGGACAGAGATTGGACAGCTTCTGACTTCTGCACTGAGGAAGAGCGAAATGGCCAAAGGGACATTGAAGAAAAAGATAGTGATGCTGCAGAAAAAATCTCCTGACAACTGCATGAGCCAGTCTCATGTCCAGGTAGGCAGAGACACTGACCTTCAGTCCACTCCAATGTCCCTGAAGGATTCCAGTGATATTTCCCATAAAGAAGTGGGACTCTATATCCCTGTGAGTCCAGGCCTGCTTGGCCAAAGCAGCCCAGGCTGCGGCAGGCAGCCTTGTCTGTCTGCCTGGCCCCAGCCAGAGACCATTGACTGGCAGATTGTTTCCTGGCATGCCCAGAATGACTGCTACAGCTCTGGAGTTTGCTGTTCAGATCAGCTGCAGGCCAAATGCTGGGCATGGGGAGCTGCTTCTCCTGTGCCCACACAAGATCATGGCAACACGTGGGGATTTGGATTTGGTGTGGGAAGGAATGGAGCAGGTGAGCAGGGCGATGGACTAAACCCAGCAGAGTTTTGTACCAAGAGATCTGAGCAGCAGCAGCTGCACTGCTGGTGCTTAGCGTAAATTGTATTGGCAGCTGTGGAAGATGCAGTGTTTTTGGGTAACAACATCACATTTGGAGTAGGGATGTTTGTTGGCAAGGAGCTGTCAGATCCCAGGCAAGGCAGCAGGGCCTGACACAGCAGCTCCAAGGTAACAGTGGCAGAGGCTTTTGCAGCCCAGGGTATCAGAGCTGCATAGGGCAGTGCTGTGAACCTTTGAGGCCAGAGCACAGGTGCTCCTTGTCCTCTGGCTGCCAGCGAGGTGGCACTGGCTGCCTCTGCACAGGGATCCTGAGGAATGCTGAGAAGGATGAGAAAAATCTATTTAACGACTCATCTAGAGTATTTCTGAAGAGGAACCCAGAGATGTCTTCTGGGATGTGTTTTAAGTCACTTCCTGGGCAGCTGTGGCTCCCCAGGGCAGACAGTGGCCCAGGGGAGCAGCAGCCAAGTGCTCTGAGGGCGCGTGAGCCCATCCATCTTTGTCTCTTCCCACACAGATGTTGCAGGCAAGTGTGAAAGCCTCTGCTCTTTGCTTCTGTGCAGGTGCTGCAGGAAGAGCAGAATGAGAAGAGGGCTTTAACAGAGACACTGCTCCAAACTCAGGGAGAGCTCAGCCAAGCGTGCCAGCAGGTCCAGCAGCTCAGGCAGGAGGTGAAAGAGCAGCAAGAGAAGGAACGGGTAAGTCTGATGTCGTGGTTTTAAGGCAGTAACTAAAAAATTACTTACTTCTTGCTGTGAGATATGGATTAGAACAAGAGCAAAACAGGCCTTAAAAGGAAATAACGAAAATTCATTAACAATACTACAAGAATAAGAACACCAGAATAAACCTCCAGAAAACCCTTTTATCCCCCACTACCCAACCATTCCCTTGTACACGTGACAACATAAAGACAAAAAAAAACAAACTTTGGAACTTTGGTGTTTAAAACAGTCCCAATTCCTGCTAGAGTCTTTTCATCAGTCTCTGTAGAGAAACAGAAGTCTTCTTCTGCTAATCTATGGAGTTTCTCACGAGAAAATTATTTCTGTTAGAGTTTTCTATTTCTCTGATGCCAGTTGCCCGGAAATCTGCCAACAGTTCACTCCTCCCATTTCACATCACTCTGAGGTGTGTATGGGCCATGAGTCTAGGGATAGCATTTTTTAAGGATGAGATATTCAAAGGCAAAAGTCTTCTTCATCTGTCTCTGTGAGCTTCGCTGGAAAACGGTTTTCTCATTGCCCTCAAGACCTCAAATCTTCGCTCCACTCTGTTCCAGCTCCTCACTGTACCACAATTACTCTACTTTTTGCTCAAAATCCACACTTTGAACACTCCATTCCTCCCAATATACTCTGTCATGAATTAAAGGAGTTTTTTTTCAGAACATTATTGTCCATCTCCATAGCTCTAACAGAAAAATATTTCAGCTTATAGAGCATCTCCTTATTCTCTCTTCCCCATCTAAAACTTAACTCTTTTCTTCACTGTTATCTTCATGTTGATTGTCTCTCTCTCCATCTCTCTGGGAAAAAGGAGTAATCTGTACATTTTATCCAGGTAGTAAAAGAATTAAAGTCCCAGAAAAGCTGCAAGTGTTCATGGTGTCAGGTTTCAGTCCAGCAGCAGAAACTACAAACTAAGCCAGGCCAGCTGGCTCCGTTTCTCCCTTCCCCCCCTGCCTGCGGCCTTGTCCGGCCTGGAGTGGGGAGAGGAGGCCGAGACAGAGCCTGTTACCTTGTTAGAAGCCAGAAACCCCAAAAAAACCAAGAGAACTCTGGCTTTACATCTTAAGGCGGTGTTCAAAAGTTCATCTCACTTTTCAATGGTCAAAACTGCTGTCAATTCGTAGAAATGACCAATAATTGGTCAGGAGAAAAGATTCCCATCAGTCACCAGCAGCTTCAACTACCTTGGCTCCCAAAGCTATCTTAAAGGTAAAGTCACCCCATTACATCTGAGTAGGCAGGGGATGGAGTGCAGGGCAGGGACAAGGGCACAAAAGGCAGCTCCTGGGACTGAGGGGGCAAGGGCTGCCTCAGGCTCTGGGAACACAGAGCCTGGTAAGCTCCAGAGCTCAGGCCCAGGAAGGAGGGCTTGCAGTGCAAGCAGAGCTGGGTTGAGAAGCCACAAGAAGTAGCTGAAGGAAGTTACTCTAAATTTTGTTGCCAGACCATCAAGGCAAAGCTGCAAGCTGAGCTGCAGGAAGCTCACAATGAAATGCTGGCAGTGCAGAGGAGGCACAAGGAAGACCTTCAGGGCATCAGAGAGGAGATGAATGTCCTCCTCAAACAGAGGGATGCTCTACAAAAGCAGGTGAGTGAACCAGCAGTGGCCCTGCAGTCACCCAGGGAGGACTCTGTGGCCTTCTTGCTTTTCCATGGCAGAGCAGCAGCTGATGGGGTGATCCCTGGGGCTGCCTCATGCTGTGGGGGCTCCATGGCAGCTGCTCTGAAGGACACTCAGTGCTCTGCTGAATCTCAGCTGCTGCCCCCTGGACAGCTGGGCCAGTCCTCTGGGCTATTGGCCAGCACCCATCAGCATGGACTCCTGCTGGCCTCTTCTTGGTTTGGGAGGCGCTGTTTTAGGTGCCCATAGTGGGCCACTCAGAGACTTAACCAAGTTGTCCATATCCATTGTGAATCTGGTGCTTTCAGGACAGGGAGAAACGGGAAGTTGTCCTTTCCCTTTCCTCACGGCCTCTGCTGTGGCTGACAGTGGCAGGCTGTGGCTGTCGCCTCTGACTGCTTTGTTCTGTTTGACTGGAGGTGGATGAGTTGACATCTCAGCTGGCAGCCTCCCGAGAGTTCCAGGAAAGCACAGTTCAGAGAGCCCAGCAAGATGTGAGCGAGGCCCAGGAACAGTGCAGCAGAAGATGTTGGAGACTGAGCACATCCAAAAGAGGCTGGAGGAGGCAGAAGATCAGAAGAAGGAGCTCCAAGAGCTGCTACAGATAATGGAGAAGGAATCGAAACAATGGGAAGAAGTGGCATGCCAAAATTCAGAACTGCATGCTTTTGCGACTTCCCTAAAGAGAGAAAATGACAGGTAAATGAAAGCCTGTGGGACTCTGCAATGTGGTGAATGCATTCCCTCTTTGCCATCTTTGCACCTGCCTGGGGCTCTGGCAGCATTTCCTAAGTGTCAGATTCTGAACTCTATGAAGACACATGTCATTATCTGTATGTTGTGTTCATTCTCTAATATAATAAGCCTTCAGTTGGAGTTTTTCTGAAGACAAAGGCTTTTGGGGTAGCTCTTTCCCTCTAGGGAGTGTTGTGCTGTTAGGTTAGGTTAGGTGGGTGTGTTAACAGTGCTGGAGCTGCAGTGTAAGGAGCTGGATACATCCATCAGCTCCACCTTGGCTGCTGTAACTTGAGGCCTTTGGGATCTGATCAGCCTGGCATCTGATGCCTTTGCTGGGCAGAACCTTCTT